AAGGTAAAGTACAGTCGATGGAAGGACATTAACTTACGTGTTAGTTTGAAAGGTAGAGAAGCAATAGTAACCATAATGCTTGAGAAGTAAGCTGGATTTTATTCATTGCTTCAAAAGTCTTGAAAAATATAATAACAGGCTCTAGCTGGCAAACTGTCAAATCAGAGAATGTTGTAAAAATCAAAAGTCTCCGGGACAAAGAGTTTATAGAGATTTCACATTCAGTGATGTTAGAGAAATCTGTGATGAATCCCTAGAGTAATGTCCCTAAGGTTCTGGAGCAAGATCATGTATTCTACAAAATAAAAACACTAGCTGTTAGAAACATGGCTATTTCAGTGTTACCGGATCCTAGTAGAGCCCAAGCACTTGACTGTGGGACATCATGACTCTGATGATGTCCATCGTGTTTTGCATATTACCAGGTTAAGTGGGTACAGCAGTGATTTCTCTTATGATGAAAATGATACATTTACCATGAGCCTCAAACTGGCCCAGAATCCACATTTAAATTACATTTAATATCTGACTCAGAGTCCATCGTTATCTGCCTCTATGTAGTGCCTCAGTTCATAGCTCTGGTCTCATGGGGGGTTTCCTATGACCAACAGGAAGAGGAAGAAAAAACTTAGGCTTGGTTCCCAGATGGGTTGGCTTAATATCTTGGTCCTTGTCATAAATGGAGTGCTGCCATACAACAGCACCACTTAGGGATGGACTTAAGGATGGTAATGGAGGGAGATCTACCAAGATGACAGAACTGCAAGCAGTGCCCTGGATTGTTCGTATTTTATGGAGATATAAAATATATATGGACTCTTGGGTAGTAGTGAATAGCTAATTGGTTAGGAACCTGAAAGGAGCAGAACTGGAAAACTGGAGACAAGGAAATTAGTGAAGAGGTGCGTTAATGAGTAAGTGGGAACAGGCACAAAACGTGTAGATCTTTTGTGTCTTAAGGCGATGCTCACAAGAGAGCACAAACAAAAGGCTCTTGAACAACCAGTCGATTATCATGACTCATCCAGTATAGGTAAGATAGCCTCTGTCGTTGGCTACCCAATTCTTATCCTATAAATGACATGGCAATAGTGGCAGAAATAGAGGGGCTCTGGCTGGCATAAATACTGCCACCATTCAATGCCCAACCTGCCTGCAGCAGAGACCAATGCTGAGACTACTTTTGTGAGGAGTCCAGCCAGCCACTTGATTGCAGTTTGATTACACTGAACTCTCTACTTTGGCAGGGAAATAGTTCTTTACCAGAATTGAAGTAAACTCTAGATCTGGGCTTGCTTTCTTTGCCCAAAATGCCTCTTTCGGAATCACCATCTGAGGGCTTTCAGAATGCCAAATTTACCAGCATTGTTTTTTCACAGCAGTACCTTAGATCAAATGTCCCGTTTTGGGGGCAAGGAAATGCAACAACATGTATATGACCTTGGGATTCTCCTGGATCATGTGCAAACCTATCCAGGGGCAGCTGGCCTGGAGGGAAGAAATGACTTTAATTAAAGAGTTATCTAAGGCACCAGTATGAGAACATACTTATAAGATTTGGCTGCTATCTTTGGAATGAGATATCTCATTTGAAGCAATGATCAATATGTGGTACTTTGTCTCTAATGGAATATACAGGTGAAGGAAACGGTATGAGAGACTAGCTCCTGTCACTATCACTCCCAGTGACCCATTTGCAGAATTAGTCTCCTGTCATTGCCAGTTTATAGCTTTATTGGGTTAGAGGTCCTGGTTCCCAAGAGTGGGGATGGGATTGCTCTTATGCAGGGTGATACAATAAGGATGTCACAGAACTTCACACTGTGACTGCTGCCTGGTCACTTTGGATATTTCATGATAGTGGGTCATCAAGCAAAGAAATGAGTTATGTATTTGTTACCATGAGGAATTATTGTTGCTGCTACACAACAGAAGTACAAAGCAGTATGTCCAGAATCCAGGAAATTCAGTGGGATGTCTTGATGTTTCCTTGCCCAGCAATAACTATAAATGTCCAACAAGGGTGAAGCCACTAAGGACTCAGCTCCCTTAAGGGTGAAGATCTGGGTCATTCCACCAGGCAAGCATTTGAGAACTGCTGAAATGATGACCAAAAGTGATGGAAATTTACAATGGATGCTGGAGGAGGCAGCTGGAGTTGTGGCCACTGAAGCTTGTTTCACTACCCCTCCTGTATTCTTACTGTATTAGGTCTGCAGGAGAGATTGTGACCAGGTCAGAGTTTAAAAATTCTGTGACAGATTAATTTTCATGGAAAGCCTCAGTGGATCTGAATGACATATGAGGTGAGCTGTATTTGATTCTTTTGTGCCCCACCTCACATTCTCTTGGACCACATTTAACTCCAGTCATTTCTGCAGCATCCAGCTTTCTGTAAGGAAAGATTCTGATAACTCTTTGTCTCAGCCATATTCTGGATCCTGGAGTAGTTTCTGATGAAATATTAAGGTGTGTGTGTGTGTGTGTGTGTGTGTGTGTGTGTGTGTGTGTGTTAAGAATATGGGCAGTAAGTGGCTGGAGAGATAGAATGAAGGCATGAATAGTCATCATTAAGAATGAAGTTTTCTCACCTGAAAATTATATAATGAATAATAATAATAATAATAAATTTTAAAAAAAGAACGAGGTTTTCTGATCTATGTCAAAAATTCAGGATGATAAACCAGGTCCTAGAACAACCTTTGCTTTAAAATATATTAAATTTTAAAAAAAATGGTTGCCAAAACAGTTTTTGGGTTTTGCCAACTCTAAAATATTAGCAAGAACAAACAGACAGAAATGGTTTTCTAAAGATATAATGCTCTTAGTAATTATTTTGTTTGTCTCATTACAGGTTAAATTTGTTTGACAGAAAACTTGTACTTTTAGAAGAGCTCCTGTTGCATTTTTTGATATTATTTGACACTATTTGATGCTCAAAACAAAAAACTTTTAGTGTTTAATTTTTCCCTTTCGAAAGATGCAGTAATTAATTTTTTAAAGGATGAGTTATTCTTGAAAGAAATGGCAACACTAAAGTGTGTTAAAGACATCTTGCCCTTCAAATCTAGATACAATTTATTTAAACCCTTTTTTCTAGAGAAAATGGAAAGGGCAAGGCTGTACCTAAGATTTCTTAAGATTCTTTTTGATTTACACTCTTATTCCTCTCTGGCTCTTATCTCCACTGAATAACTTTATTCAGGATCATTTCACCATTATACCTTATGGTCTTGGGATTCCTATTGGCCAAAACATTAATCTCAGCATTTAAAAAATTTTTACAACAAAAATCTTTTTTACAATGTGTTTGTGTGCAGAAGATTTTACTGAAGTTTGAGAATACTGTTACAGTTATAAAAAGTAAAAATCCTATGGTAGACATTGGCCTAGAAGTCCCTTGTTAGTCTTTATATGCCAGGTCTGTGTTCCTGCGATAATGTGTGGTCTTCCTCTCCTCCCACTTATTCTTCTGACTTCTAATTCTTTATTTTAGTGTAGAGCAGTTTGATTACCTAATGTGTAAAGCATTAGAAAGAGAATGGACTGTTTCACCTAACTTACAAGAAGTGATTACAAATTAACATAGATAAGTGCAAAAGAAAATCAAGAGAGGGAGAGATGTGGGGGGAGGAGAGAGAGCATGAGAGATTTTGATGATTGGTAAAGATGAAAATAGGGAAGACACCTAATATTAGTATGGGTGCAGGGAAACAAAAACAAAGACAAACACAAAAAATTAAAAAAAAAATTTTTTTAAATGCATACATTCCACACCAATAGGAAAGACTCAAAACTGTTATTCGAACAAACTAATTTTATTGTAATTATTAATATAATTGTTTTATTTTAATTTACTCTATTCCTCACTACTATGAACTATTGTAGAAATAAAATGTACTGGGAAAATATGAGTCTAGATAAAAAATAGTATGGAGGATTGAAAAGAACTGATTGAGACATTAGCAAAACCTAGTTTCTCATTCTAACTGGGTAACCTGGGGCAGATTATCTTCCTTGTCTGGTCTCTAGTTTCATCACCTGTAAAGTATGGAGGTAGGAATTCACAATCTCTAAGAATATTTCCAGCTGCAGAGGTGTCACATACAGTCAAACTAACTATTGAAAGGAGGACATGTCACTCTGATATCTGAAACCTAATATAACTCATTGTATTGGTTTTTTTTCCCCTCTGATTGAAGCCCCATGAGAACCTCTAATGAGTCAAAGTACTTCAATAAATTCTACCGCAAAATCCTATTCTTTGAGCCTCTTATCTTCATGTGTTGATAAACAGGTACAAGGCTAAAGGAAGGGAAACAGAAAGCATAAAATAAAAAAATGGTAGTAGATGGTTAATCTATAAACTGAATAACCTGCTGTTGAACAATTAGGAATGGACCATCCACTGTAGCTAATTGCATTCTAATTAGATATAGTTAGAAGAAGCTTTTTAGTTTTTAAATTTTACTAATTGGATTTATAAGAATTGTATATCAGGACATGGGAGGATTATTATGTATCTTATATAATTTTTGCACTAAAATCCATAGTAAGTAACAATTATTTGGGGGTTATTTTTCCTCCTCTTTGTTTTATGCTTATTAATTCAATTTGGATTAAATCTTCTCAGAGAATGCATGAGACCTTTTATATATTTCAGAAAGTTCAGTTTTGTGTGTAGCTATACATAAATAAATTATAAATTAGTAACACAGAACAAAGTTGGAAGTGAATCAAGTACAGGAATCGTGATTTCAGAGTACACACTTAGAAATCTAAGAGCATATTTTATATTTAATGAGTATAAAAATATATATTATAAATACATTGTGGTTTCAAAATAACACTACATTTGAATCTGTTAAAATAGTGCTTGGCATGCAATTGGTAAATTAATGATTGGGGAAAAGTGAATAATGGGAAGTTCACATTATATCAGAGTTATCCTAGTGACTAAATTAATGATTGAACATAAAATGTCAAATTTCCCATTACAGAGCAATGATTACCAACCATTGTACCACCATGGATCTTGAAGTTTGAAGAATTTTGTCTACTAAACATGATAAATTTATTTGGTAAGCAATTTTTTTTCTCATTTTTAATAACAGTGCCAAACCAGTATTGACAGCAGTGATTGCATGTTAGGTTCACATTACATATTAAGGCAATAGAGTGATTAAGAGCATGGACTTGTAATGAACAGTCATTTGGTTAAAACCCCAGTTCATTGACTGTGAGGCCTGGGATATGTTTTTGAAAACTATTTTATTTTTGTCTCAATTTCCTTTTCTTAAAAGGGGGAAAATAATTTTGTCAACCTCATAATGTTCTTTTAAATGAATTCATGAAAAGCACCTAGAACAGTGTCTAGGACATCGTAAGCACTCAAGAAATGTTGGTGATTCCACATTAGGCAACCTGAATGCTTACACAGATTATTCCCAGTGCTCATCCGGGTACGACACCGCATGATGCTCAGGTTACAGGTGAGAGCTTGAGGCGTGTTGAGATAGGAAATAAATCACCCAATTTAACAAAGACCTGTTCAAGCCTAGAGCTAAATCCTGTTTTCCTCTTCTCTCTCTCCCTACCCCCTATATCCCTCTTTTCCGATCTTCCTCCTTTCCTCCCCTCTTTATTGCTTCCCTTTCTGACCTGCAAGACATAATCAGTGCTGCCACTTTACATTAATATAATTCCATGCAGAATTAAAGGTGCTTGATATTTCAATTAGCCTTCCAAATTTATTGAAAGTGAAATTACCATTTCCTTTAATGCTTAGAAATATTGAAAATGGCTTAGGAAACCCTATTTCTTTCAGATTAAGAACCACGGATATAAGCAGTTTATGTAAAGGGGGCTTCCAGTTTGGTATTTCATAATTCTTAACACTTAAATTTTAGGTAAATCATTTAAATATTGGCATAAATAAGATTATGAGGGAGGAAAAAAAGTCTTACTTATTCTTCAATGGAGAATTCTTGATTTTATGATTTTCTAAATGGTAAGAACACTGATGTTTTCAAAAGTCAACATCACAACTGCCTTGAGATAGAACAAAGAAAATATTTTGCAGAGATGACTCATTTCATAGACAGCCTAGGACATTCATTCTTTGTTTCTGTTTCAGAAAAAAAGAGTGGCAGCACCATGGCCACTGCCTGTCCTAACATTAACATTGAGGTTTATAATCCATTTTCTGCCTTTTCTGGCTGCTGCTGTTATTAAGGCTCAGGCTGGAGGGGCTCCAGGGCCACACACAGACAGCGTTCATATGTGACAGTATCTTTTATGGAGCAGAGCAAAGGGAGCACACACCCTCAAGAAGGGAGGGAGCCGGAAATGAAGCAAAGCCATAGAATACCCCTCATTATCCTAACCACCCACAGAACCAGGAAATGGCAGTTCAAGTCTCCACCAACTGATGAAAGTACAAGCTGAATGATGGATAAACATGATGAAGTTAAAATAGGGTGACTTGAAGAGACTAATACAATTTTTTTTTTTTTTTTAAAAAAAAAAAAAAAAAAAAAAAAAAAAAAAAAAAAAAAAAAAAAAAAAAAAAAAAAAAAAAAAAAAAAAAAAAAACACCAACAAACTCTGTGCTTTAAGAAAACACCCTTGGCCTCTGAGTGCTGTTCCGGTTGATCCAGATCCAAGACTACTTTTCAAACTTTACTCTTTGCTCCACTACCCGGCAGGCACTTTACTTCCGCTCCTTATTTTCCTGGGACTCTTTCTCTTCACACTGCTCTCCTCAGCGTTGTTGTCATCCCTCCCCCATCCCTGCTCTTTCCTTTACCCCCCATACCGTTACTCAATCTGTTGCTTGCTTTCCTCTCTGTTTGGCCAAACATTTGACTTTTCTCTTTCAAAAGATTTTAGATTCCATGTCCTCTTTTGGAATTTCTCTTTACTGAGTGAAACAACATGGCTATCCTCTCCTCTCATGGATTTCACTTATCTTTTTTTAAGGAGCAGCCCGGCCCTGCCCCTGAACTCATCAGGCAGCTGCCTTTGTGGTGTAATTTGGCAGGGAGCCCTGTTCTCCTCGTAGCTCCTGCCTGGAGACATTGGTCTGTAAAGTTGCCCCATGAGAACTTTTCTGTCTCTGAGTAGTGTGTTAAAGTGCATAGGTCACTGATAAGGATAAAACCATAAATTAATTTATACCAAAGCTGTTGATGCTTCTCAAATCCCAAAGAATTCAGTGTCTAATATAGTTCTTCTGCATATTTGAGTAAATAAATGAAGATGATCAAGGCCAGGGCCATGAGAGTATGAAAGGATATTGAAGACAGTTTTCACATTCCTCGAAGTCTTGCTGAGAGTTGGCTCTCCTAGGGAGAAATAAATTCTTAACCCTGGATACCGATGCCAATTGCATTTGTTAAGTAGCTTGATTTTGGCTGCCATTTTCTCCACTGTTTTTGCTGCTGTCATATTTTGGCTATAAAATTTTCAGAATTTTTTTTTTTTTTAACAATGCCTTAAGCTCTTTGGAGTAAGTACTATGTGTATGTGAAGCTACTAAATCACTTAAAATGGCAACACAACTTTACGAAGTATTTTCATTAGTTATATAATCTTTATTAGTTTTTTTTTTCACAGCTTATATATGAATTCTGAGGTGAATTTGGAAACTTTATGCCTTTTTTTAAAAACAATAATAACTAGCTTTTTTCTTATAAAAGTAATACATGTTCATGGTAGACTCAAACAAAGAAACAAAAATAAATGGTTTGGAGGAGTAAAATCCTGCCATCCAGCCTCACTCCCCAGAGCGGTGGTCCTATACTGGGGACAATTTTGACTCCCAGGGGACATTGCCAATGTCTGAAGACATTTTGGATGTCACAGCTGGGAGAAGGGGGCAGTTGCTGCAAGCATTTAGCAGAAAGGTCCAGAGTTGCTGCAAACATCGTGCAACGCGCAGGATGGCCCCCAGGACAAGGAATTATTCAGCCCAAAGTGTCCTTCATGCCTCTGTTGAGAGACCCTGGCCTGGAGTGACAACTACTAGCTATATTTTGCATATTCTTCCAGAAAATTTAAAAAATATTTTTTTTTTCACAATGTTTTTTACACAAATGAACTGTATTTCTACTAATCTACAACTTGCTTTTTTCCCACTTAACGACATCTTGGTTATTTTTCTATATCGATACATATAACCTACCTCATTGTTTTTAACTTTTGAATAGTGTTCAATTGGCTTATTAGATCATATTTAACCAGCTCTTCAAAGTGGATAATTTTGTTGTCTTTAATTTTTCTCTTAGTTATAAACAATCCTGCTAGGAGAAGTTTTCTGAAGGAGAAACCACACAAAGGGCTGGACTCTGCTGGGCACTATTGGTTTTGCTTGCCTTACTTTTGCTCAAATATCTGACTTGGAAGTTAAATTCACAGTGGGAGTTTTAATCAGTTTCTCGCAGATCCCAGTTCTCTCTCCACTGTAGCACCCAGGAGTATGGAAGGGAGAGAGAAGAGTGACCGTTTTGTGCACCACGCCACCGTGGACTTCACACAGTAGACACTTTTAATTTCTAGCTTACCAGCCAGCAAATCATGTCAGCTGTGGAAATGCTGGCTTAGGGGGCTTGCTGTATCTGAAATGTTTCCAAAACTTTTTTAAGAACCTGGATTAGTTAAAATATGCTAGAGATTCAGTCTGTCCTTTCAGTTAATAAAAACAACAACCACTTCAAAGCTAACCCCTCATTCTCTAAGGTGAGTTCGGTCCAGGATTTCAGTCAGCTGACATATTTTGCTGCTTTCTATGTCTATCTTCCTTTTGGATTAGAAAAGTGAGGTGGTACATAATACCCATTGGTTATAAGGAGAACATGTAATTCACAAGCACACACAGTGTTGCTATTGATGGTGTAGGGATGCTCACACTGTTCATTTAAGGTCAGTGCTATTTTTGTGACCCCAAAGAGGAGGCTATCACAAGGAAAATACTATGTAACGATTTCCACTTTGCAAGAACATGACTAACCCCAAGTCTAGTACCTTCCAATTCTTGAACTATCCCTTGGATTTATCTCCTTCATCTCACTTCAAGCAGCATGGAATGTAATTTTCTTTCCAATCAGTCTTTGCTACCTGTGTAAAAATGGATCAAAATTCATAACTAAAGGAAATACTTTGAAAGAAAAAATGACTGCTTTAAAAATCTTTGCTTCCCACCTATAGGGGTTGCAACATTTTTTTTAAAACATGTATTTATATTTGTTGTTACACTTTAACCTGTTTACATCATTTCTTGCTACATTTTGCCCTTGGCAACAAGCAGCAATCTTCACATAAACAACTTCTAGCTTTTTCCATAGAGATAAAAAATAAAAGAGCAAAAATGACCAGCTCTCTTGTAAGGCCTCAAATATAAACAGGATTATTTTTTTAAGGGCTCCCGTAGAAACTTCTGTAAGTAGCTTAGGTTGTGAGGATCTGGTGCTGGGATCATCGGCTCCCTGGTTAATGATTTTGCTGTGCATTCCATACAGGTTCTCTAATGAATGTGACATGAAAGGCCACATGGGAGGGGTAAGCAGAGTCCAAGAGTCAGTTATTGCTTCCTCTGCCAATGATTTGCTTAGTGACTGATTAATTCACTCATTTCTTCCATCTGATAAAGTGATTTGACATGAAGAAGAATTGGCCAAATTTTCTTATCTTCTCAGGAGCCAAAAGCTATAAAGACAGGGGAGTCAGAAGCTATAAAGACAGGGCTGTGGCCAAATCTACTTTCAACTGTTTCTCTATAAACTCTTTGTGAGGGAACATTTATGAGGACTCAGCTGTTAAAGATGACCCAAAGAGAAAGTGCATAATTATGAAGACAGCAAAGTAAATGGGGCAAAGGGAGTTAACACAAGAAGACCCGGTTAGAAAAGAATGAGAATGTGCTAGAAGTTTTCTTCATTTGGCCGTGAACTTTCCTTACCTTTGAACAACTTCATGTTTTAGAACTCATGGCAGAAGTTTTTTATAAAAGAGTATGAAGAAAACATAAATAAAAATAACCAAATAAATAAATGGGTAGGAAGATTGTCCATTATGTCTAAGA